GGCTAAAATTATTTGCGAAACAGGCAATTTATGTTTCTCTTTTCTAAACTATATTTTTTCTTAAATAAACATCTATTTTCTAAAACTATTTATGATCAATTTTTAAAATTATCCAGTATAATATTACCTTGTGCTCATCCATTTCGGGCTCATCCTTGGTAACTAACAAATCAAAACTCAGAATAACAAATCACTTCAGCAGTGCAGTAAGAACGACACTTTAGAACCCTTTCGTTACACTCAATTTGCGCTTTTGTTTTCATCTTTTGTTTTCATATTTTGTAATCTGGCAATCTTTCTGCGAAAATATTTTTAAATCATTCTTGAAAAAGAACTGTCCATGTAAGTTGTTATGATTTTGCTACTCGCTTTATAGTCCCCCCTTTTTAATGTTTTTTCTTTTTATTTTATTTTATTATCTGTTTTTACATGTTATTTTTACTTTTTATGATCTATTTTTATGTAGTTATTTTATAAAAAAAATTTTTTGAGTGCTCCTCACACTATTGTATTAATATATTTTGCTTTGGCTTTATTGATACAATATCAGAAAGCACTCTGTTTTGTGGATATAATCGTGTGGGCTGAAGAAAAGATTATATCTTTTTTTTCTCCGGTTTTTTAATTAACATTTCATTTTTTTTTTAAAATAAAATGTTGTTTGTTATTTTTTTTACTATGTATGTTATTTTTTATATATGTGTGTGTGTGGGTGTGTGTGTGTAAGTTGAATATCGAATATCACAAAGAAAACAGGAAAAGGAAAATAAAGGATTTTAAATAAAGATGAAGATATAATAGCATTTTAATATAAAAATAATAATTGCAAAACGGTTTATAAGTTTAGCACTGATTGAAATAAGTTTCCTTAAAATGAAGCTTAATAATATATATCAGAAAATGACGCTGTAATAAAGAAATGACTTTTTTAGTTTTAGTAAAGGTAGTTCTTCATTTATGTCGCACAGGAGCTGCACAATGGCTATTAGCACCAGTCTGGGAAACATCCCTGAAGATGATCCGAAGATACGCCATCGTAAATTTTGATCCTTAGCAGAGGAGAAGGCTCTTCCGCTTTGGTAGCACGACGACCTGCACGCGAAGTTTAGCATTTTACGATAGAGCAGTCTAACGAGGACCGATACCGTGCACCCTTGGTCCCTACACTGACTGATCAAAGAGGTCATTCACTCCAAAGCGTAATAACAGCAGATTAAAACAAGAAAGATAATTATTGAAGACAAGCATCTATAAATTTGGGATACAAAGAAATATTTAAGGAGAGAAAACACATTTATGATTTCGATTAATTTAATGTTTGTGATAACCAAAAAATTGTGGAAATGAATCTTGGACAGAATTTATTTTATCCATTTTATCACTGCCTGAAACAATCTAAGTACGATCATGTTCTGAACATGACTGCATTGCAAGAAGACATTTTAAAAAGGATGAATGCCTATTCAGATTCCATTCAACCCCAAGACCATGATAACTTACATTTCAGTCCATGATAACTTACATTTAAATTTTAGATTTCAGTGATGACTAATATTTTTTAGTTTCTTTTATTTCGGATCCCAGTACACGTATTGCCAAAGGCAAGTTTATTTACTTTAAGATACCATTCTTCTCTCTTATATTTAAGAAAAAATATCCAATGAAATAATTTTAAGATATTCAATTTTTTCCAGAGAGTTGGACTAGGAAATGAAAACATGAATATAAGCATATGCTCAAGGATTAACGTGGTTTAGCTTGTTGCATGAAGTTGCTATGCTTATCTTCCAAGTTACTCACGAATTTACTATCATCCAGGTCACCAATTTTGTGGTCTTTTCTATTCACTTCTTGGAATTTCTTTTTGAACTGTATGAGATAAAACAGCATGCCACTAGAGGACCACAACCCATTAAAAACTCATTAAAAAATTCATTAAAAATTCGTCATAATTTCGCTTTGATTGTCCTTTCGTTTCCAATTTTATTTCAAAATGATATAATAAATATTTTCAAACTAACTGATGTGTAAATTTCTTCGTTATTTAATTTAAAAAAATCGCGCTCGCAAGCAAACTGATGATAATTTAAAATTTTCTTGTTTAAAAAATTATGTTCCCGAATTTTATGTTAATAGTACATATGTTATTGTTTCATTTACATTATTTTATATCTTTTTTTCTTCTCTTTTAGATTTGTAAAGATATGACATGGAAAGATTTTTGCAAGACTTCTGTAGTTTTCGATTATTTCATCAAGGGTATATCAGACTAATTTACCTTACAATGTTGTCATTATAACTTGGAATGTTTTTTCGATGCTGTGGTGGAATGTGTAAAAATCTATTTGTACAATAAATATGTTCAACTGCGAAATTAGTTTATTTTGTGAAAATGGTTTCATTGAAAATGGTGTACGTTAGCAACAAAGTTTGAGACTTAAATTTGAAATGCAATATAATATTATTTATTATTTCTTCAATACCTCAATTTTACGCTACATGTTTAAATGTGTTCTATACCCAAATTAGATTAATTATTTCTTAGAAAACACTGTATCGATTTCTAAAACCTTTTTTTTATTATTTACTTTTCCTTAATAAATCAATAAGAAAACTAATTTTGAAGATTGGTTGGTGAAAAGGAATTTTTAAATGAAAAAAATTATTTCCAGAAAAAGTAATATAAAAATTTAACATAATATGAATAACTAAAAAAAAAGGGTGCTAGAATGTTTAAAATGCGGAGAAAAAAAATAAAGCAAGAGTTTTTGAAAAACGATTTAGTGTTTTCTGAAAAGGTAAACGTCATTTAAGGGTGCTTAGGTCACATTTCAAACGAAGATACGTGTGAATTTAAGCGCATTTACTTTAGAGATTAATTAAATGCTTTATTACTTGGGTCAACAGATACATTATATATTTTCCTGTTTGAATAACTATATTGTTGATAAAAAAATCAAACAATGTTGCTTAAATTACCACTCTAAATTTAAAAACTGGTTGGTTAAATATGGAGAAACCGCTAATCATATATGGCAGTACTTATACTATAGTTACTTGCACCGCCGGTACAAGTAAAAAGTACGTACTTTTACTTGTACTTCGTTACTTTTTAAATTTAGTACTTTTAATTGTACTTTCGTTACGTTTTTAGGGAAAAAGTACCAGTATTTGTAACGGAAATATCGAACGAAATCGTTAATTTTTTCTAAAACTCGATAAGCTTTCTAAAAAAAAAAAAAAAAAAAAAAAAAAAANAAAAAAAAAAAAAAAAAAAAAAAAAAAAAAAAAAAAAAAAAAAAAAAAAATTATTAAAATTTTTTTATGTTCTTTTAATTTATAAAATTAATGTGCAATATCAAGTTATATGCATTCACAGCTAACTTCGTGTTTAAATACCTTCTGTTTCAACTTATACTGCACATTCAATTATTTTTTACTAGCTCAAAGCTCACAAAGCTATCTGAAACCCCGTGTTTGCTTTGTTTATGTTTGTGCTTTTAAAACGCTGTTCTAAAGAGTAAAACAATTTTAAATCAATGGTAATTTAAATAAATAAAAATAATAAACTAAAAATTAAAATCAATAGATAAAATTTCTTTTTCGTGCAAATCCATAAAAAGTTTGATATTAAAATTATATTTGATTTTAAAATTATATTATACGATTATATTATAAAATTATATTATA